AGGCAGGCACGGTTGTGGCTGATACACCATATGGGGCTGCGGAAAGATTGGTGCACGGGTCTGTTTTCATCTTATCTGGTCTAGATTTACAGTCCTCCGCTAGCTTATTTTTAATACTGCTGTTATATGTGCGGTTATTGACGTACATTATTTGATCGCGGGGAAAACAAAAACACAATGGCCGGCTACCTCGCCTCGGCGGCGGAACATGGAGGTCGCGCAGCACGGGCTCCGTTGAAGCTCGCGGTTGGGGAGACGATCGCGAAATCTCCCACCAACTCGGCACCCGCACGGCGTGTCCCCCACGCCACACACCACCCCCCTCCCCCCAGCAAAGCGACCGGGAGCCGTGAAGAAGGGTGCGCGAATCCTGCTCGTGGGAGAGCCCAAGGTGGGCAAGACCTCACTCATCATGTCCCTTGTGAGTGAAGAGTTTCCAGAGGAGGTGTCGGCCCGCGCTGAAGAGATCACGATTCCAGCTGACGTTACGCCAGAAAAAGTGCCCACACACATTGTTGACTATTCCGCTGCAGAACAGACAGACGATGCTTTGCAAGGTGAAATTTTAAGGGCACATGTAATCTGTATTGTGTATGCGGTGGACAATGAACGTTCCATTGAAAAGATCACAAGTAAATGGGTTCCTCTCATCAATGAAGCTATTGAGAAATATGAGCGGATTCCCATCATTCTGGTTGGTAACAAGTCTGACGTGGTGGACCACGGCACCATGGAGGCCATCCTGCCTATCATGAACCAGTACACGGAGATTGAGACCTGCGTGCAGTGCTCAGCCAAGACCCTGAAGAACATCTCGGAGGTCATCTTTTATGCCCAGAAAGCCGCACTGCATCCCACCACCCCACTCTACTGCACCGATGACAAGCAGCTGAAGCCAGCTTGCATCAAGGCCCTGATAGGAATTTTCAGAATCTCGGACCAGGACAACGACGGAGTCCTGAATGACACCGAACTCAACGTTTTCCAGGTGCTCGACGATGCAATGTGCGATAGAGTAATAGGAAGCTGATGTGTGCAAGTTTGGTGGCCTGTCGTGCAATTCACGCACTGAGAGGCAAGTGGCAGCATAGGCTTGAGGGTCAAATTATCATTGTCAGTTTTCACGTTAAGTAAATTAACTTGACCCATGATCAACATTGAATCATTCACAGTAATATACGAATGTCATGATCTATCCTTGCCTGTCCAACAATTCAACGAGTTTTTTTAGATGTGTAGTCTTGCTGGTTTATCCCAGGATGTTTCTGTTGCGCGTCGTCCCTTTAAGATGTTTCTCTGTTCATATTTTGTTTGTTGCGGTTGCACCCGACTCAAGAGCCGCGTGGCTTACAGGGCTATACCTAATGAATGAAACTTGAAACTAAACGCGTCTGCTGGTGATAACATTCGCGGCATGGAACGAATCGCTGTGATCGTCAAGGGTCAATGGCGAGGCTGTGTTGATTAATTTAGTTCAATGCTGCGTTTTACCTTTCCGACACTAGAACCATTATTATATGTGCAGTGCTCACCACTGCTTTAACCTTGCCACGCATGTTGCTCGCTGACTTGCGGTTGACTTGTCTGTGTAACATTGATGCATGGTTGCCGCTGCTACTGCAGCCATCATCGCGAAAACACGTGCTCTTCTTAACGACCAACGTGCAAGTGTAACGGGGCACAGGTTTACAGAACGAGCTCACATTGTGTGTTGCAACAGTTTCTTTTTTTAACAATGCTCATTTAACAACGACAAAATGTGTTTACTGCGCAGCACATATATGCGTCACTCAAATAATATGGACACAATTCATTATATAACATATGAAGTTAATGGATCATTTGTGAGAAGTAACGTCCGGGAAGGATATCCAGAGTTCAGTTCATGCGCAGAGCGTGAGTGGATTGTTGCATTGCAGGATGTTGGGAGGTGGCGGTGGCTTGGGAAGGTCATCAGCCAGCAGTGGATGGACCATGGCTGATAACGATGATAGGTAGAGAATATACAGAATGTTCCCGTCCATAAATCATGATCTCACAGTGGCTGATAGTACACTATAAGGTACGGTAAATACGTATGTACACTATCCACATTCTAAATATTTCCCGGTCTCTTTCAGGCAGAAATATTCCAAAATAGTAACGTTCATTTAACAATAAAAAATATATATTATTTGTTTTTATCTCAAAACACACCTTGAATCTGCGCCCCATGCACTCCACCCCACTGCTTCAATTCTGCTCATATCCCCAGCTCCCCTATTTTGGCCCACGGCGATAAGGCAGAGATGCTTGTCATCTCTTTGAAAAGTTTGGATGCTTTCAGCACTGCGATAAAAAATGGTCACACTGCCGGCTCAGGGATGAGGATACTCTTGGTCTAATGATCCATCAACATCAGCATTGTCATCGGTCTTTTTTGCCATGCCTCTCAGGATTCATGAGGTCCTCTTAATCTGCCTCTGCCACATGACACGGTGTTCGGATGGGGGTTTGTTTTTATCCATATCCCATCACCTTCCTTCCTATTTTCCTTTCACGCTTATTCTGTTCTTCCCTATTTTTCCCCTCCTCTTTCTCGTATTCTTCTTTACTCTCCTATTCTGGTGTTGTCAGATCACAGCTCGGGGAACACAACTTCTCTACATGTGCACCTCTGTCATGTATGAGCATGTACTCAAGCCCTGTTTGTATTGTTGTTAAAAAGCATAAATAAAATGTAAAAAAAATGATTATTGTTCAAGTGTACAGCACCTTTATTGCTTCGGCAATATCAGAATTCAGCAGTCCTAAAATTAATATCTACCCATATATTTGGGGGCTAAATTGTATGAATATATACATTTAAAATATATATGTATATGAGGTAACTCAGGATTTTGAGCACACATTCGACACAGGTGAGATCCTACATTCGAATTTGGGTAGGATGGCCACTGGGTTGTCAAATTAAGTGAGGTGACGATCTATCACTTAGTTTTGACAACCGTTCTGCTCAAAGAATTAAACACTTTTGGTCGAACTGTCATGTGACAAACAGAGATCTGTCACGGGGCATCTTGCATGGATAATAAAGGCCACTCGAAGGGATCTCACTGATAGTTTTATAACATTGATAGTTTTATAACATTTATAACATTTATAACATTTTATAACATTGACTTTCCATGGTTAAGCTGCTCTGCAAGAGTTCCAAATGATTACATCATCACATGAGATGATGCTGATGGTATAATTGTAATAAAGTTGTGAAATATAAAAATTTGAAAAAAAAAATCAATATCTAACGATCCACCTGCCGTTCTTGATAAATGTGCAAAATTTCACTTCAAAATACAAAGATCTCCCGTACAGGCTTACCAGACTGTTGGGGCAAGTGCTGTTAGCGAGCCCCTATGAAGGCTGGCACGGCACACGAGGGGGTGGGTGGCCAGCACTATGCCCGACCGCCTTTGTCTCCCCAGTGGATATGTTTACACACCCCACCAGGTTCTCTTTTGAGGTTCAGTCGACCTAGGGGAGACCCAGGACCAGTTCAGATAATCGTCACTGATGTTGGCCGTGAGCGGGAATCAAACTCGGGTTTTCAGGGTTCGTCACGCAGCACGCTGACCACTGCACCACCGCCCCCATACACATGAACACAAAGACATGAACAAAGACACACATATGAACCCACACACACATGAACACACACCGAGCACTTACGCCCATTGCTTCAGGAAATCCCATGGACTTTGCTGGAATCACTTAAAAGGAGACGCGATGAAGAACCAGTTAAGCTCAGGTGGCTATTAAAAATGCACCACACCTGTTCATGTTTTGCGAGGATGTTTTGTTGCTGGTGAAAGTAAAAAACGTTGCATTAGATTTCATGAAACATTTTCGAGAGATTAATGAAAATGCTGCAAAACATTGGTACACTTTCAACGCATGTTTGATTCTCACACGAAAATGGAAACATTCAACACCCGCCAATATTTAACTTCGATGTTGTTCTGCACATTATCCTTTGCCCATGGACACAGACAAACAGACAGTTTACCGTTTCGGGCTGATAGACAATTGGAGAAATGTGTTACCCTCAACCAATGATTGTCAGTGTAGCACACAAGCGGGTGATGCATTACTATGCCAACACCGCAATGCGTACACTGCAACGCCAGATTTCAATTTTAGGCCGAGGCAACCTAGAGTAGGCACAGGCCAAAATCATAAACCAATTTCCGTCGGTTTCGTGCTTGCGTTGTCAAGGCCCAAACTCGGGTCCCTGGGGGTCATAGTTTTGGTGTGCTGACCATTACAACGCCACTCAGCACACACGGTATTCCAATTACCATCACCATACTTTTAATGATATTTTAAAAAAAAACACTTCTGCATGATTTGTCGTGGTGGTTGGTGTGCAAGGGGCCCGCTCATGATTTGCGAGAGAGCCTCTGGTCTTCTCATTCGTCGCCGGAAATACAGGTCACACCAAGCCAAAGGCCAAAGGCCTGTGTGACCGGGGCCATGATGAAGTCATGTCCGATCATGGCGTTGACATTTCAATAAAAAAAAGCTTCGGGTTTAGATGCATCATGGAGATCTAAATCCTTTGGAGTGGCGACAAAGACTCTGAATTAATCCCCTCTCGTTTCTGCATGCGATCTGTCACAACGTTCAGGTGGGCTGCGCTGTCGAAACGTGTTACTGCAGAAGGGAATTTATTGTTTCTGAGGACTTGCAGGGAGCAGTAACCTGATTGTACGTGTGTAATTAAAAGTAATTTCGATTTAATAGTGTGTAATAATATTGTGATTACATGGTCATAAAATCGAAGCTTAATTAGTGTCTGAAGACTGCGTGCGGGACTAATAACCTGCTATTGGCGTGCGTTCGTGCTCAGCAAATACTTTCTGTCTCGGTGAATACCTCGCCGAGCACGAAGGTGGACTTCATTTTATCCATCGCTTGTTGACACAAAAATGTAAAAGTTCCGCGGCAATCCCTCTTTTTCTGCTCGTGCCTTGAAATGTCACACGGGCTCCTTCACGAGGGGGCCACACCTTGAAGTCTGTGAATTAGAGTAGAAGGACAGCAAGTTGGAGTGGGGAGGGGGGGTGACATTTGATCTAGTGTCAGTGGGGTACATTCATATTTAATAAATGCCCACGTTGGCCAGCAGGCACTTGGCCTCAGGTGGAGGTCAAAAGTGTCAGCGTGTCGGTGGGCCACATCTGTGCGCAATGCACCGCCATCGCTTGAATGGAATTAGCGTGGCATCCTTGTAAATACAGTGAGGGAAAAAAGTATTTGATCCCCTGCTGATTTTGTACGTTTGCCCACTGACAAAGAAATGATAAGGTCTATAATTTTAATGGTAGGTTTATTTGAACAGTGAGAGACAGAATAACAACAACAAAATCCAGAAAAACGCATGTCAAAAATGTTATAAATTGATTTGCATTTTAATGAGGGAAATAAGTACTTGACCCCCTCTCAATCAGAAAGATTTCTGGCTCCCAGGTGTCTTTTATACAGGTAACGAGCTGAGATTAGGAGCACACTCTTAAAGGGAGTGCTCCTAATCTCAGCTTGTTATCTGTATAAAAGACACGTGTCCACAGAAGCAATCAATCAGATTCCAGACTCTCCACTATGGCCAAGACCAAAGAGCTCTCCAAGGATGTCAGGGACAAGATTGTAGACCTACACAAGGCTGGAATGGGCTACAAGACCATTGCCAAGCAGCTTGGTGAGAAGGTGACAACAGTTGGTGCGATTATTCGTAAATGGAAGAAACACAAAAGAACTGTCAATCTCCCTTGGCCTGGGGCTCCATGCAAGATCTCACCTCGTGGAGTTGCAATGATCATGAGAACGGTGAGGAATCAGCCCAGAACTACACGGGAGAATCTTGTCAATGATCTCAAGGCAGCTGGGACCATAGTCACCAAGAAAACAATTGGTAACACACTACGCCTTGAAGGACTGAAATCCTGCAGCACCCGCAAGGTCCCCCTGCTCAAGAAAGCACATATACATGCCCGTCTGAAGTTTGCCAATGAACATCTGAATGATTCAGATGAGACCAAAATGGAGCTCTTTGGCATCAACTCAACTGGAGGAGGACTGCTGCCTATGGCCCCAAGAACACCATCCCCACCGTCAAACATGGAGGTGGAAACATTATACTTTGGGGGTGTTTTTTCTGCTAAGGGGACAGGACAACTTCACCGCATCAAAGGGACGATGGACGGGGCCATGTGCCATCAAATCTTGGGTGAGAACCTCCTTCCCTCAGTCAGGGCATTGAAAATGGGTCGTGGATGGGTATTCCAGCATGACAATGACCAAACACATATGGCCAAGGCAACAAAGGAGTGGCTCAAGAAGAAGCACATTAAGGTCCAGGAGTGGCCTAGTCAGTCTCCAGACCTTAATCCCATAGAAAATCTGTGGAGGGGGCTGAAGGTTCGAGTTGCCAAACGTCAGCCTCGAAACCTTAATGACTTGGAGAAGATCTGCAAAGAGGAGTGGGACAAAATCCCTCCTGAGATCTGTGCAAACCTGGTGGCCAACTACAAGAAACGTCTGACCTCTGTGATTGCCAACAAGGGTTTTGCCACCAAGTACTAAGTCATGTTTTGCAGAGGGGTCAAATACTTATTTCCCTCATTAAAATGCAAATCAATTTATAACATTTTTGACATCGTTTTTCTGGATTTTCTTGTTGTTATTCTGTCTCTCACTGTTCAAATAAACCTACCATTAAAATTATAGACCTGATCATTTCTTTGTCAGTGGGCAAACGTACAAAATTAGCAGGGGATCAAATACTTTTTTCCTTCACTGTACAGGGGGGCCCAAAGTCAGAACGTAATAGTGTTATTATATTTATCTGAACAAAATCACCTCGGATTATTTAGTTTATTTTATAGAATGTTCAAACTGACTTCCATTAACATTAATGGACGTGCGAATTTCTCTTTGAAATAACTTTGGGACTTCTTTGTTTAAGATTACACGTGTAATATTTCAATATTCGTCAATTATGTTTCATCTCAAGTCATTCTGGGTTGTTGGTCGAATTTTGTAAATGACAAATTTGAGGTGACCCCCAAAGGAATAATACATATATATCAATAATGACAAAAGATACAATAGTAACTTAAAGAATAAGCAATTGAGTAAATGTAATGCCAGTGTTAAAATAAATAAAATATTCCTGTGTCCTGACTTTTGGACCAACGTGACTTTTGGGCCAACTCAACATGTACCTGCCTTCACAGGGGCGTGTTTTGTTGACAGCTCCGCGTTATCATCCGCAGTGATATTTATTAAGCGCCTATCATGCAAAGGGTAGAAGCAAACACACGCGTTGTGCTACACACGGCAACGGACACGTCGCTGCACGAACATGCTCGATCCGGCCCAATCCCGGAAGCGAAGCAGATTTGAGCCTGGTTATTGCTCCGATAGGTGACCACCAGGGCTTCCCAGGTGTCGTAAGCATTTGGCTGTGAGATGTGGCCAGGAGAGTGCAGTGTTGAGTCTTACCCCCAACCTCTGTGTGGTGGCTTTTCTCCGAGTTCTCTGGTTTCCTCCCACATGAAGCCAAACTCTCATGAATAGAACTGGCCAAACTTCGCTCATGCAAGACTCTCCTGAAGAGTCTAATTGGCATTATAAATGAACGAATGCACTGTGACCTTCACACACACACACAAACAAGGCGTCATTTAAATAATATAATCAATGCATCTTGGATACTAAATAACATTTGCCAATTGTATAAAAACAATATTTCATTCAAACATATGTATATAAATTAATACAGTTTCCGGTTAGAGAGTTTTCTTACTTTGGTTCATATGCTCCAAGAAAGCTTCGCATATATCAGGCTATTGGCAGTAAATTCACAACCAAGTTATCTGTCATTCTTAACCAAATCTCACTGAGGCCCTCCAACAAATGTCTTGGGTTTCATGAATGTACGTGTTTTCCTATAGGGGGAAATAATCTTCAATTAAAGCATGATATATATTATTGTGTAAATGTTGGTGATGATTTCGCATGGAATAATGAAACTGCATTGTGGGCTGTAGAGCAGTGGTGGAGTGGTAGGTGCACTGCGAACATAGATACCTAAGTTAAAATCCCAGCGGGGGAGCCTGTCCTGGCCCCCCGCCCTCCGACCCCTTCACCAACCTGCATTGACCAAAGTGGTGAAGTATAGTCAGATAACCCCCACGACCGACACGCCGTGGTGAGGTTTTCATCCAGCAAGTGTATTGACAAAAGGCTGAAAATAACATGAATGACATTTTTTTTTCAGAAACATTCACTTCTCACGTTTGTTGGTCACACTTCTCACGTTTGTTGGTCACACTACTGAAGCTTGCATGCTGCCGGGCGTTATCGTTTATATCGCAGTGGGTCGAGTGGCACCATGCATCATGTTTACCCTACCGTTAGGCTCCCAGAGGTTTTCAGCTCAATATCATCCCCAGCCGGGCCGCTGATGGACTTAATCTCAGTTCCTTTTTTTTCCTTTCTGGGGATCATTCACCTCCTGCAACACACCTGGGAGTACTCAATGTGGGTGGGTGGCAGCGCCTATTGGGAAGAGAGGGCCTTATTCTACACCCAGACAGCTTGTGGCAGCTCTGTAGCGCCACACTTTACCCCCTCGCGTCAGTGTGAAATTGGCAAACGCTTGACGCCGAAAGGCTTCAAAAATTCTGCCCCGTCGCACCTGCGACTTCGTGAAATATTGATTGATTTTTTTTTTTGGCGAGCCTGAATTTTTCAGTGGAAGCTAAATGAAGCAAACTAATATAATTACCTTTTTCCCAAACAATGTTTGGCAAAGTATTGTACGTTGTTATGTAATGTATGGGGTAGAGTGGTTGGAGCAGTGGTTAACGTATTAACACCATGAGTCAAACAACCCGAGTTCAATTTCCGGCGATGGTTACTATCCGTCGTGAGTGATATTTGAATCGCTCGGTCCCACATTGACCATTGTGGTGCAGTATGGTGAAACAACACAACATGGTATAGGAGACCTTCATCCAGGTGTGGACTGACAAAAGGACTTTAAGACACATATTTATATTCTAAATTATGCTGGTAGAGGACTTGTCAATAGGTGCTGTTGAAGGTCCTGGAAATGCTATCATCTAACCTTCCCTCTATTGCATATTACAATTTATAATCTTGGTATTGTTACAACTTCCTAATGTAAGAATGAATTGTTTTCCAGTGCTTCCAAGGATTTTGTAGTCAAAAGCGTATAGACTATTTTATATTTAGCAAAATTGTTCATTTAAAGGGGATGTCATATTCCTCTATAAGTGAAAATACCAATTCTGGGTATGATTTACTTGGTGACTAAAACTTGCCAACAATGCCAATAGAAAATACGGTGCCAAAATTTACCATCAATATTCAGTTTGTCTACATTTAGCTGCCACTTTGTAAACATGTATGTAAACATATATGTTTTAATATAGAAACTAGAGACGGGTGTTCCTTATTATCAATAACTATTGAATTCCCATCAGGAGCATATCAAGGGAATTTAAACTATGGGATAATAAAAAAACAAGGCCATGCAAATGTTCTGATGAAGGCCTACAGTAAAATCACATTTTTTTGTTTTGCCATTCTGGCATTTCACTTACACCAACTTTACCGTCATTTCTTTTCTTGAACAGAATTTTTTTTATTTTTAAATAGGCTCGTGGTATTTAAATGGACAGGTTCTCATATCCGAGACGGTTGCCATTTAATTAGTGCTCAGCATGTTTGAAGTGAGATGCTAATAAATAAAGCATAATCGTTAAAACTGCCGCACTAATTACCAGAGAATAACTTATGACCTTCTTTGAAGATGAAGGCCTTTCCCTATAAAGCCATGGCACATACCCGCAAAGATATGCCTAATTTAGCCAACAGCCAGCCAAACAGGGCTGCTCATTATACAAAAAATAGTGTGCCACGTGAGTGGATGTTGCATGCAAAGTACCTTTCTCGCTGCCCGAATCGCACAAGTACCTGCAACACAACGGCGGCATCAACACCCGATGTAGAAACAAAACGAGCACGTCAAATAATTGTGCCCGACAAAACAATCAACACACGGCACATTCGTCGCTGATTTAAGCACCATTATAACAATTACAACATTAAAAAATATATCAAATATCTGTGCGTTTGAGAAAAAGGACGTTGCGTAATATGTATGTCGCACCCAATGCATAGTTCTTACCCAAACCTTAAGTTTTCTGGTTCAGAAGCAAGGCTGGCTTCTCACTCTTTCATCAGCTTCTGCTTTGGCATCGAATTTTCATCGCTACCACTACTACCACCACCACGACCCTATATATATGATGTTGCCATCCCACCGTCCAATTGGCCAAAGAAGGTCCATTGTCAACATCTGCTGTTTTATCAACATTAAAGTGTCACATGGCAGCCCCCTCCACCATCGCCGTCACCTCGTCACCCTCCGTCCCCCACCCCGCCCACCCTCTTTGCTCTCATTTCTCAAAATAAATACTGTGGCCTGTCTTTGCCTCGGTAAATGATCATTTGGCTCATCTGAATGGCTTGGGCCAGCTGATCACAGTCCCACGTGAGCCCTGCAGAAGGGAAGCAGCGTCTCTTGCCTTTCCCCCCGTGAGCCTTTGCTCCAGGGAATAACATGCTTCAGCGATCAGGCCTGACGGGACCCTGAAATTAAGCAGTTTATAATGCCCCCCCCCCAACTCCCGACCACAGCTGCGACGTCTCTGCAGCCAGGCAGCTTGGTTAACTCAAACTTTTGGCTTCGACTCTCTGTTTTGTAATGAAAGAACACGTGTGTGTGTGCGTGAGAGCACACATGTGAAGCAGTGCACAGTGGTGAGTGCACTCAACTCTGACTCCAGCGACCTAAGTTCAATTCCCCGCCACGAATAATATCATTGGAAAGTAGCATCTGAACTGATTCTGGGCTTCTCCTAAGTTGACTCAGCCTTAAATGAGCACCTGGGAAGCAAAGGCAGCCAGGAATGCTACTGGCCACCCACCCCCTCGTGTGCCCTTCCGGCCTTCTTAGGTGCTCGCCAACAGCACTTGCCCCAAAAGTCTAAGGCTTTACGGTGGATCTTTGTCTTTGTCAGACGTGAAAGCATGCTTTGAGAAGGATGGGTGCAGAAATTATTTTCACATGGGTGCATTTGTTCACGTACACAAACTGCATATAATGTTTCCACTCAGTTTAACACGTAGGCTTTCGCGACCAATATTATTCATAATAAAGGTTTTTGGGTTAGATCGCGTTTATTTATAAATGTGTCGTAACCCTCCACCACCCGACACGGCCAATCAGCAAAAAAAAGTGTCACGTTGACAAAACGTGACACTTTTTTTTTGCTTATTGGCCGTGTCGGGTGGTGGAGGGTTACGACACATTTATAAATAAACGCGATCTAACCCAAAAACCTTTATTATGAATGTTTCCACTCAATGCAGAGCCAAAATAAATCCTTTAAATCATTGGCTTCTTTCAGTGACTATTAATGCACCTTTCAAGTAATGCACACTTCATTGCAAAACCATATTTTACTTAACCATGCATTGTTTTGTTTACATTCTGAAAATGTTCCAAGCGCCGGAGAAAATAGGAAGCTGCGTGTGTGTGTTTTTTTTCATCCCGGTAACGATTGCGTGATATCAAAGGTAGACTTTCACATCCGTCAGAGTCATTGCCAAGTAGTTTTTTTTCAGTACGCTGCACGTTGTTTTAAACGTTCATCCTTACACTCGAATGCCTTGTTTTCACGTGTTTATTGTGCTATAATAATGTATAATTCATTCCATACCCAATGTGTTGTCATGCGCAGAGCGGCATGTGGATACGCGGAGTTGAGATGTTAACTACCCCCACCCGGTCAACAGGAGGTCGTGGGTTCGATCCCGACCCTGACGCCTGTATATTTCGAGTTTGCACGTCTTTCCCCACTGCGGTCGCGTGGATTTTTATCCGAGTCTTTCAGGTTTTCCCTACGCATTCAGAAACGCGCGTTTAGGGTATTTGGCTGCTATAAATGTCCACACGATGACGAGCCACTTCGTTGAGCTATCATTTGTGGTCAGGTCACTTCTGACAAAGAGCTACACAGCTCCCGTAGGCCTTTCCTGTTGTAAAGAAATAAATAAAAACCATGAGGCCCTGCAAAGCATGCTTACGTTTACCGCATACAGTAATAATAATACGAATTGTTATCGTTAATAATTCCAACGCGTAACGCACACAGAATTCGCTCACTCTCGTAGACGGTGAACGAATCAGCGGCGCGAGCAACCACGGACAAGTTGGAAGGCGGCCAAGCGATGAGCAGCGCTTTCACCCTCGACAGCGACTAATTTATTACAGGACGCATCATCTGAACGCGATGCGTTGACCCAAAGTGCGTTAAATGTTATTTCTGCAATCCCCTTACGTAGCTGTGCTGTGTCGTTGAACCGTTTTAACGCTGTTATCAAAATTGAATCTGTATATGACACCTTGCGCGATTTTGAAATTCACGCCTGGTTTGTTTGACTCCCCGATACGCACCGGCGATGAATTCTATACGGAGATATCATCTCGCATAGCGCCGTGGCAAATGTCCACGCATGGGAAGAAAAAAAACTGAAGCACAATTCACGATCACAGGCCATGAAACTATTTGTTTTTCACTGACTTGGCGCTTTCAAATATTTCCTTGAAAGCGAATCGTTCGTTCAGTTGATTTTCCTCGCTATCTCAGATCCATGCGCACGTTCCAAAAAAGCATTTAGGGAATTTGGTGGTGGTGGTGGGGGGGTTTATATGTCGGTGGTGTTTTTTATGAACGTGTATATTTAGAAGCGTGTGCTGAAAATGCACAGGGAGATTAAATAAATAACGGAGTAACATTTAAGGGGAAAAGCAAACCGCTGTTGTTATCGGTGTTCTGCGGGTTGCAGTGAGCGGTCATCGTGAACGTAGTTCATTCAGGGCATGGCTGTTGCTAGTTTATACAATAGTGGGTTGAAAATTTTGGTGAAATATAACAACTCGCGTTCACCTTCGCAGATTACGTGTATTATTTTTGTTTGACTCGGCACGTTTATTAAAATGAAGATGTTTCCATTCTGACATGTTTTGGAATACAATGAGCTACCCGCGGTACGTTTTTGTTTGTACATACTGTACTGCAAAATAACTTAACTGCAATCACTGGATTCACGTAGGTAAAAAATAAAACAACAAAAATCACGACGTTTCGGCCACAACACAAGTGGCCTTCATCAGGTGAAGGGACCAGACTGTCTTGAGGACAGCGCTGGAGTGAACACAGCCAAGCTCAGACCACGACCTTTAAGCTGTGTGAGAGGAAACAGAGCGCCTTGACAAAGGAATTAGCATAAAAATTAGCATTTAATTGGCGGACTTAACATGATGAACGGTCTTCTTTGGTTCTTTCGGTAAAGTCACGTAGAATGAGAATAAAATAATAAATTGATAAAATAAAATAACACAATAATATTCTCACGACGTTTCGGCCACAACACAAGCAGCCTTCACCGCTGTCCTACCAGACAGTCTCGCTCCCTTCACCTGATGAAGGCCGCTTGTGTTGTGGCCGAAACGTCGTGAGAATATTATTGTGTTATTTTATTTTATCAATTTATTATTTTATTCTCATTCTACGTGACTTTACCGAAAGAACCAAAGAAGATGAATCATTGCAGTCACGAAAGCTTTAAATGATGAACGGTGTAGAGGGGGTGAACATGTGCAGGTCGGCGAGGGGGGAGGGGAGGGGGGAGTTTACATATTGATGGTGTTAAAAGGGAATTTAAGCAGTTGCGAAAGTTTGGGATACCACTACTTGAAAAAATATACTGTACCATTGAAAATTAGTTTAATGTTTGGTTTGATTCAGAACATCTTTCCAATGGTTGCTTAATTTGTAACCATCTTCTCGGTTTAAATTGTGTCTGTGTTTGTAAATCTGAATTGCCTCGTAACATATCTCTGATAAAAACCCGTGGGTTTGCAAAGAACCTTGGTATCGGAGAAAATTATATTGTGATCACCCAAAGTGTTGTAACAGTGATCAGCTACGGCAGAAGAATTCGTTCTGCCGTGTTTCAAATCTGATTTGTGCTCACGAATTCGGTCAGAGACATGTCGTTTCATCTCCCCGATATAGCAGTCACCACAGGTGCAGATCAATTTGTAAACTCCGGGGTACTGTAAGTCAGGAATGACATCCTTCACGGAAGGGATCAGGTCACAGATTTTGTGTACTGTATTGAACCGGACCAGGATCTTGTGTTTGTTTAGAATTTTGGAGATCTTTTTAGTAACGCCTGCTATATATGGTAGTGTGATGGTTTTGATCGGAGTATCAAGTGGTTGTTTCTGTATGGAGGGAGAAACAGCTTGGCGGATGGTACGGTCAGAGTATCCATTCCTTTTTAGGATCAGATGTACATGTTTTAATTCACTGGTCAGGTGGTGTTGGTCCGAAATTCTAAACAAATACAAGATCCTGGTCCGGTTCAATACAGTACACAAAATCTGTGACCTGATCCCTTCCGTGAAGGATGTCATTCCTGACTTACAGTACCCCGGAGTTTACAAATTGATCTGCACCTGTGGTGACTGCTATATCGGGGAGACGAAACGACATGTCTCTGACCGAATTCGCGAGCACAAATCAGATTTGAAACACGGCAGAACAAATTCTTCTGCCGTGGCTGATCACTGTTACAACGCTGTGGGTGATCACGATATAATTTTCTCCGATACCAAGGTTCTTTGCAAACCCACGGGTTTTTATCAGAGATATGTTACGAGGCAATTCAGATTTACAAACACAGACACAATTTCAACCGAGAAGATGGTTTCAAATCAAGCAACCATTGGAAAGATGTTCTGAATCAAACCAAACATTAAACTAATTTTCAATGGTACAGTATATTTTTTCAAGTAGTGGTACCCCAAACTTTCGCAACTGCTTAAATTCCCTTTTCACACCATCAATATGTAAACTCCCCCCTCCCCTCCCCCCTCGCCGACCTGCACATGTTCACCCCCTCTACACCGTTCATCATGCTAAGTCCGCCAATTAAATGCTAATTTTTATGCTAATTCCTTTGTCAAGGCGCTCTGTTTCCTCTCACACAGCTTAAAGGTCGCGGTCTGAGCTTGGCTGTGTTCACTCCAGCGCTGTCCTCTAGATAGTCTGGTCCCTTCACCTGATGAAGGCCACTTGTGTTGTGGCCGAAACGTCGTGATTTTTGTTTTATTTTTTACCTACGTGACTTTACCGAATAGAACCAAAGAGTATGGATCCTTGCAGTCACGAAAGCTTTAAATCTAGAATCACTGGATTGTATTATTGGGCTGGGACACATGCGGTGTGATGTCACCACAATGGGCCAAGAGGCATATGTAATTCACTCTGTGTGGGGTTTGTTTTAATTCCTTAG